TATTTCGATATATTGTAACATTTTAACAATACATTTGATACATTTTCTTCATTATAGTAATACATAGGCACATTTAATACATTTGGTGCATCATAGTTAAACATTGGTACATTTGATACATATGGTGCATTATAGTAATACATTGATACATTTGGTGCATTATAGTAATAAATTGGTATGTTTGCTAAATTTCGTGCATTATAGTAATACATTGATACATTTGGTGCATTATGGTAATGAATTGGTATATTTGATACTTTTGGTGCATTCTAGTAATACATTGATACATTTGGTGCATTATAGTAATACATAGATACAATCGGTGCATTATAGTAATAGACTGTTACATTTGATGCATTATAATAATACATTAGCATATTTGATACATTTGGTGTATCATAGTAATGAATTGGTATAGTTGATACATTTTATGCATCATAATACATTGGTAAATTTAATGCATTTGGTACATTATAACATTTTAACAGATAGGATTTTGATACAGCATAACATTTTAACTTTTTATAAACTTTGAATTGTCTTCTTAATATAAGATTTTTGATATAGAATAACATTATAACAAATCTTCTAAACAACAAAAGCATTAAAATGGAGAAATAAAGTTTTTCTCATGTAACTGACAATTACATAAGCATCAATGCATATTATAAAAGCACAAAATGAATTTGCAAAAATGAAGTTTAAAAAATGCACAAATTTAAGAGTGATTATTATTTTAGCAAGAAAAAGAGAAAAGTTATCAAATTCATCGAAACAAATTTATTTTTTAGGGTTAAACTGAAAATACTTAAAAGGTTGTTAGAATAGTCTTTTCAAAGATTTTAGAAAGATATACTAAAGGTGGTGAATGTTGAATACCCAACATAATTATAAAATGTTCAAATTTTAATTGAGATGAAATTGAATGTTCATCTCACTCTTGAGTTAAAATTACTGTTTAATAGTCTTAACTTTACTGTTTAATAGTCTTAAGCTGATTACTCTCCTTCCTCTTGAATAGCTTTAAATTGCATTAATACTTACTCTTAAATAGTTATAAGTTGACTACTCTCCTTCCTCTTGAATAGTCTTAAGCTGAATACTCTCCTTGCACTTGAATAGTCTTAAACAGAATACTCACCTTATTCTTAAATAGTCTCAAGCTAAATACTCTCCATACACTTCAATAGTCTTAAGCTGAATACTCACCTTAATCTTGAACGCTCTTACTTTTGCTTACTATCTCAATGCATATATCAGATTAATGTAAATGTAGAGAATAAGTAGAAAAATTCTGAACCTAGATTATCATGATAGCAACAATAGTAATCTAATATTTTGAGTCCGCAAAAGTATTGTTTCAGTAAATATTAGTAAATATTGAAAATTTTGTAAATAATTTTGCAATTAATATCCATTTGAGAAAAAAATTAACATGAAATAAGAATGGAAATTAATTATTAACTTTTATTTTAACTTTCGATTGATTTCTCTCTATTAATAGCTTAAAAATTGTTCAAAAAACTGCATTTAAAAAAAGTTAACAAGAGGAGAGTGACAATAGTCTTAGTAAGCAGAACATAAGTAAACGGCAGCTTTAAAGTTTCAAAAACCTATTTAATTCAGTAAATCAAAATGTGACCCATATTGATTAAACTCATAAAATGATATTGAATCAAATCTTTTAAAAATAACTGTTTGAAAATATCGATTATGGTAAAAATGCTAAACTGAAGAGATTTTTCAATTTACGTGAGTCTTCTAAAAGTGTTTTCTTATGTTTTTTGCTTATATTTTTGCATTTTTCTTCTTAAGAGTAATAAAAATTGCAATACCCAAATAATTATTGCCGCAAATCTGAATATCTAGGCTTTTTGAAAAATTTGTCTAACTGTTTGTATTTTATTCTTTATCTTACATTTTCACTGATAATTAATTATATCAACGTTATCGACGATTATTAGAAATTCTGATAAGAAAGACTTTTCAATTCAATAATTTACTGAGTGCAATAATTGTTTTCAAAATACGATGATAAGATATTAATTAAATTAGGCTAAACCAATGTAAAGAAAACAAACTTCAAATATATTTCCAATATCTAATTCATTTTATATTTATTAAGAAAACAAATTTTTTCAAGTTCGCGTTTACGAATTCATATTTTTCAAATTTGTTTTTTTTTTTTTTTTTTTTAAAAAAAGATTAAAGTTTTGTGCGCAAGAATTTGAAAGAAAAATTTGAAAGAGAACAAAAATATTTTTCCTGTTGGGAAGGGTGCAGTTGCAACCACTGCGATTTTGTCTATTATTATTAAATTCTATAAACCCTAATCCATATTTAAAAAAAAGTAAATAAATGAATAAAGGTCCAAACTATCTTTATTAATCATTGAAAAGTATCTTAAGTATCCAAATCAGTATCCAAAGCAAAAGTATCCAAATCATCTTATTACATTTGGATTATTAAAAACTGATTTATGAGGTTTCCTCATTGAAGTTATTTGCATATTGTTTTGCTTGACCCTCTTTTAAGGGAGTCTGTACTTTTTTTGCATGTTCTGTAACTTTTTAAAACGTCCTTAGTTGTATAGTGTACACTATACAACACTACTGTTGTATAGTGTTCCATGCAGTTTTAACTGTTTTTCTAAAAATGACTGTTTCATATGCATCAAGAATTAATTTTTTTAAGACTGCTATAAAATAGATAAAATATTATAAAAATTATTGCAGTAATTAAAAGTCAGGATTAAAATTATGGACTTACTGGAATTATTTTAATCAAACATTATATAACAACAAAATGCAATGACAATTTTAAGGAATCTGTCAGTAAAAAAATTTAGTTTGTTTGTAAGTTTATATTCAATAATTTGAACTTTAAATAAATTGGAGTATTTATTTTTTCCTTTGAAAAGATTAATAAAGTACCAGGGTATTCCTTTACTTCCTTAGAATTCCTTAGAATTCCCTTACTATGAAAAGAATTGCACAGTAAAGGAATTCTAGTCCATAAATGATAATTAACGGAAAAGTACCACAATTTCCTTTTTTCAATCAACTAATTAATATTAAGGACATTTTTTTATTTATTTAATATTTTTAAATGTGTTAGATTTGATCTAGTTACCAAAGTTAAAATTTTAGTCATATAAAAATTTCAAAAACTAAAATTTCTTAAAATTTTTACATCCATAAAATTCAAAATTTTGTAACTAAGAATAATAGAACATATTTCAGAGAATAAATGACAACAGTATATTCTAAGATATTAGATATTTAAGGTTATTAAGATATTTAGATAAACGTATTTAACTAAAAATGATAATTATATTTAAATTAGATATTTAAATTAAAATTTAATTAGATGTTTGAATAAATACTTCTTTATAATTCACAATATATTAACAAGGAGGAAGAGCATTATTAATTTCAACTTATTTAATAAATGCAATGAATGATAACTGTAGTTTTAAAGCAAATATTTATTCTAATTAATATTTTGCATTTAAAAAAATAATTTTATTCGACAAGTATTTTGTTACAATAAAAATATGCAATTCTGTAAATAAAATATTAAGAAGAACTTATTAAATTTAGTACCAAAATTTCATTTTATGGCATTGCTACACCTAACAGTGTGAAAAATATGAAACAAAAATACGTGAATATGTGTTTTTTCTGTAATTTAAATTTTTAGATTTTAGGTTTTATTCTTATTGCCTGTATTTTATTTCTTTCAATATTATAATTTTAAAGCATGTTCATGCAGAATTATTAAATTTCATTTTATTTCTTTCAGTAATATCATTTTAAGATATTACGTAAAATTTAAAACTACAATGTTATATTTAGAAATTTAAAAGTTCTATTTTTCTTTCTATCGAGAGTTTTGTTCTATCAATTATGGGAAAAAAATTGGGTAGATTTTTATTGAGTTTATAATTGATAATTATCATGTTGTTTATTATAGTTGATTTAAGCTTGATGTGTTAGGCTAATATTACTGTCATTCACTTTGGCAAAGTTTAATAAAGGTTATATTTCATACTTACTAAACCTTTACTAAAACTTCCTTACTGTTTATATTTTTCCCCAAATTTCAAATTTTAATAAGGAGTCAAATATATATATTGAGAGTGGTAAATTATGAAAACTTTTATCGAACTAAGAATTGTTTTCAAACAACAAATCAGTAAAGAAAATTATTGTATAAAGTATATAATGCAAAATATTCAATTATTTGTATTTCCTTTTCTATGATACAAGTAATATATTGACTATATTCCCAAAATAATTAAATCTTCATTTATCTTTTTTAAAACAAATTACTCCAAAAAATTATTATTAAAACAAATTACTTAAATGAGGCTATCTTAAAATATAATTTTTCCCTTACTGTTTTGAATCATATTTTTCCCTTTAAACGTCATAAACTAATTTTTCAAAGTATCAATGATTAATTTTATGTTTAAATAAATACATTTTTTACCTAGTACTTGAAGTGATAAATACAAATTAAAACCAGAACTAATTCATTCATAACATATAGCTATATTTCTAATATAAGTAATACTTATGACGAGGTATTAAGAAGGGTCATTTCAGTTATATCAGAACTTGAAACTATTATAACTAACTTTAGATAAATGTAAGTGCAGTATAGTTAATAATATATAGTTTACTGATTATAAGTATTTTAACACTATTGAGTACAGAAAATCATACTTTAGATGTAAAGATAACAGTAAGTTAGTAAGTAAAGATAACAGTAAAAAGAACTATGTTGATTTTTAATTTTAATCTTGAATGAATATTAAACAGCAACTTAAATTTTCTGATGGAATGTCGTCATTTTTCAAAATTCATTTTTCAAATATAATTATTTTTTTAGAATTTAAATTGTGATCTAAAAGTTCATATTAGAAAACAACTGTTGGCTATTCAAATATTTATGTCTTTTATTATTTTGACGGAAATGGCAAACAAATAGTTGCTTTAATCAATTCTAACTTTTTTCTTGGGTGAAATATCAATTGGAGAAGGCTCCACATTAATATCATACTGAGAAAAGGACATATTTATTCCATTTTCTAACAAAGAATCTAACCATTCATATTCTTGCAAATCTGAACTAGTGTATTCTTCATTGTATGGAGTGCGTTCAGGCAAACCTGAGCCAGGATCTTGTTTGATATTTATACTATTACTTGACGATTCCTTAAAAACCGAGTAAGTTTTATCATATCCAGACTGCATTAACTGTGGATTGGTTTCATTAATTTTTTCATCGGTAGGATTCTTCAAAAAATCCTTCAACACAGAATGGACTTTAAGATTTTTACCATCTGATTCGCCACTACTTTTAAAAGATTTTCTTAATACTGAGCCTGCCTTACTGCTACTAACAAATACTTTTTCACGACTTTTTAACAGTTCATTTGTTGAGAAAAATGATTTATCAATGTTTTTATCCTTTTTTTTCACCATTTCATTTGATAACTCTTTATCGTCACTGTTGTTCAGCTGTAATACATTACGTAGAGTTGATACAAAGCTCAAAACACACAATTTGCTCCGTTCCTCACTCTTTTTCAATTCATTTTCCATTAACTCCTTTGCATCATTGCTTGAAAAGATTGATTTATAATCTGCGAAATTAAAACTACAAAAATATGGTATGCGGCATTCACTATTCCTTTCTTTCTGTAATTCATCCATCTGCAAGTCTATAGCATTGCTGATGCTCATATATAAGCTAAGGTTCATTATAGGTTGATTAATCCATGTTTCGTTCAATAAAATAGCATCTGAGGAGGAATCAGCTTCGGAAGATTTCTTAAGATCATTACTGTTGCTATTCTTTAATAAATTAAGCTTCTTTGCTGACTCAAAACTCAAAACCTTGTCATGCTCAATTTCTACATCATTCGATATAAAGGCGGCTGGTGATGAATAAACTTGAGGTGTGAAGTTGTTATTCGATGATTCATTCAAAATACTGCTCTTTTCCTTTAATAAAAAAGAGGAGGTTAGTCTTGATCTAGGGCTCAAAGTAACATCTTTACTATTACCACAATCATTCCTAATATCATCCTTACTTCTATTATTATCGTCACTGCTGTTATCATTCTCTTTATGATTATCATCATTGCCATGGCTCTTATCATTATTATTATCATCATTTTCCCCATTATCATCATTCATTCTATTATCATCTTCATCGCTCTTATTACTATCATCGCTACTCTTATCACCCCTGCTCTTATCATCGCTGCTCGTATCATCGCTGCTCGTATCATCGCTGCTCGTATCATCGCTGCTCGTATCATTGCTGCTCTTATCATCCTCCTTGTTATCATCGTCATAATTTTGATGATTCTTATCATGATTATTATCTTCTTCACTCCCATTATCATTCTTCGATCTATTATCATTATCATTGTTCTTAGCATTATCATCACTGCTCTTATCATCCTCTCTGTGATTATCATCATGATTTCGATGATTCTTATCATGATTATTACCATCATTACTACCATTATCATCATTCGATCTCTTATCATTATCATTGTTCTTTTCCTTATCGTCACTGCTCATATTATCCTCTTTATGATTATCATCATCATTGCGAGGGTTTTTATCGCGATTATTATCATAATTTTTCCTATTATCATCATCATCGTTCCTATTATTATCATCGTTCTTATTACTATCATCGCTGCTCTTATAATCCTCTTTGTGATCATCATCATTACGATGATTCCGATCATGATTATTATCTTCATTACTCCCATTCTCATTATTCGTTCTTTTATCATCATCATTGTTCTTATCATTATCCTCACTGCCCTTATCATCCTCTTTGGGATAATCACCATCATTGCTAACGTTCTTATCACGATTATTATCATCATTTTCCCCATTATCACCATCATAATTCCTATTATTATCATCTTTCTTATTATTATCATCGCAGCTCTTATCATCCTCTTTGTGATCATCATCATCATTACGATGATTCTTATCATGATTATTATCTTCATTACTTCCATTATCATCATTCGTTCTATTATCATCATCATTTTTCTTATCATTATCCTCACTGCTTTTATCACACTCTTTGTGATTATCATCATCTTTGCGATGGCTGTTATCATCATTTTTCTCATTATCATCATTCATTTTATTTTCATAATCACCGTTCCTATTATTATCACCGTTCTTATCATTATTGTCCCTGCTTTTATCCTCCTCTTTGTGATTATCATCATTATTGCGATAATTCTTACCATGATCATTTTTCCAACTATCATCATTCATTCTATTATCACCATCATCGTTCCTAGTATTATCATTGTTCTTATTATTATCATCGCTGCTATTATCATCCTTCTTGCGATTCTTAACATTATTGCGATGCTTTTTATAAATTTTACGAAGATTTTTACCATAAATTTTACGATAATTTTTACCACGATATTTACCATAATTTCTACCATGATTTTTACGATGCTTTTTACCACTATTCTCATTATCATCATCGCTGCTAATATCTTCCTCACTGCTACTATCCTCCTCGCTGCTACTATCCTCCTCACTGCAACTATCCTCCTCGTTGCTACTATCTTTCTCGCTGTTACCATCCTCCTGGCTGCTACTATCCTGGCTGCTACTATCCTGGCTGCTACTATCCTGGCTGCTACTATCTTCCTCGCTGCCACTCTCATCCTCGTTGCTTTTTTCATCGTCTTTAATATTTGCATTGTTGTAAGGAAACGAATCTATGTTATAGTTAAAAGTAAATTGATCAGTGTCATAGTTATAAAGACGCGGAATTACTGGAACTTCATCATCGCAATCGATGAACCTGTGAGCGTCCAAATAACACAGTCTTGAAAATACCGTATTACAAGATATACAGCTATATCTAACACAGCCATTACTACGAACTTCACTCGAAGTTTTCAAATAAAATAGTTCCATCGCTAATGAGCTTAAATTTAGAGAATTTTTCTTAAGGAATTCCAAATTTAAATGTCTGAAATAAACTAATTGATCTCTAAATACAGACTTGCATACTTTGCATTCATATATTTTCCATACGTATACATTAACTAGTTTTCCAGACATAAAATCAAAATACGGAACATTATCAAGTTTAAGATGTGGTCTGTAGCATGATTCATTTCGAATGCAATTTAAACAAAAGTATTTAATTGTTCCCCCAATTTCTAAATTTACACTTAAAGATTTTTCAACCCAAAATTTACAAGCGTAGCATTCAGAAAAGTGTTCAGTTTCTTTTATTATTGATACGATTTTATTCTCAGTGTTTGTATTTTTATGTTTGAGGTTGCTTCGTATCATTCTTCCAACAATAATTTCTTTACAGGTAATTTGTTGTCTTGATAAAACTTTTATTCCAATATTTCCCTTTTCAACAATTTCTTTGTATTTTGTACCTTCTCTATCTTGCACAAACCTTAAATGAAAGGTTTTTTGCTTTTTTAACATTTCAGTTTCTTTTTCAGCTTTTACCTTAAGTAAATCAGTGGAAGTTGTATATTCAGAGTTAATATCAGAAGTAACTTTTCTTTTGGAACTAGTGCCAGCACCAATATTTATTGCTGCCTCTGAGAAATTAGTTTTAAAGGCACTAGTGCTAGCACCAACATTTATCGCTGTGTCTAAGGAATTAGTTTTAAAGACTCTGGCTCTAGCATCTACATATTTTGCTGTGTCAGTAGAGCAGTGTCTAAGTATTGGTAAGGATTCAGTCTTAATGAAGCTGGTGCTTGCACAAGCATTTCGTACTGTGTCTAAGAAATTAGTTTTAAAGGCACTGGTACTAGCTCCAACATTTATCGCTGTGTCTAAGGAATTAGTTTCAAAGACTCTGGTGCTAGCATAAAATTTTTTTGCTGTGTCTGTAGAACTGCGTCTAATTATTGATAAGGATTCAGTTTTAATGAAGCTGGTTCTTACACCAACATTTCGTACTGTATTTGAGAAATTAGTTTTAAAGGCACTGGTGCTAGCACCAACATTTATCGCTGTGTCTAGGGAATTAGTTTTAAAGGCTCTAACTCTAGCATCTACATATTTTGCTGTGTCTGTAGAGCAGTGTCTAAGTATTGGTAAGTATTCAGTTTTAATGACACTGGTGCTTGCACCAATATTTCGTACTGTGTCTATGAAATTAGTTCCAAAGGTACTGGTGCTAGCACCAACATTTATTGCTGTGTTCAAGGAATTAGTTTTAAAGCCTCTGGTGCAAGCATAAACATTTTTTGCTGCTTCTGTAGCGCAGTGTCTAAGTATTTCTGAGGTCTCAGTTTTAATGAAGCTGGTGCTTGCACCAACATTTCGTACTGTATCTGAGAAATTAGTTCTAAAGGCGCTGGTACTAGCTCCAACATTTATCGCTTTGTCCAAGTAATTAGCTTTAAGGACTCTAGTGCCTACATTAAAATTTTTTGCTGCGTCTGCAGAACTGCATCTAAGTATTGGTAAGGATTCAGTTTTAATGAAGCTGGTGCTTGCACCAACATTTCTTACTGTGTCTGAGAAATTAGTTTCAAAGGCACTGGTGCTAGCACCAACATTTATTGCTGCGTCTATGGAACTGAGGCTAAGTTTTGCAAAGGAATCAGTTTTATAAGCACTGGTGCAAGTACGAAAATTTTTTGTTGTATCTAAGGAATTGGTTTTTAACACATTGGTGCTAGCACCAACAATTTTCGCTCTGTTTAAGGAACTGTGCTCAAATGCTGCTGAGGAATTATAGTTTAGAACACTTGTGCTTGCTCCAGAATTTATTGCTGTGGTTGAGAAATTAGTTTCAAAGACACTGGGGTTAGCAACGGGTTCAATTATTGTGCTTGAATTGTTGTTGTTAGAAGAATCATGGTTATCAGATAATTTCTGTTTTTTATTTGGAAACAAATATTGTGATCGTAATAAGGAAAGTTCAAATTTTCTCTTATTATTTGGAAAAAGATATTTGGAATTTAATCGGGGAAAATCATGATTTCTATTACCTATAGCTTTAACAAGGGCTTTAGAGAATTTGGGACCACTTAACGGGTTATCTGAATTTGGATTGTCATCAAGTTCATATAGTTTATTCATTTCAATCATTTCTAAGCTATCACTTATTAGTTTTCTCATATCGGACTCTTGTTGATATGCCATTTCAAATGTTCACTATAGTGCACTTTAAACAAACAAATATGTATTATATAAGTGTTAGTTTTTAAGACCTAAATTCTAACATCCCTTCAAAACATTGCATGTGAACACATTGCAGAGGTACATGATTTGTTTTATAATGAAAATTTCTATATTAAGGGGAAAATCATAGATGCTTTTCTGAAAAATCTTCATATTTTGTGCATTGCTAGTTGATACACGTAAACTACCAATATCCCTAGACGATGTTAAACTATTACACACAAAACTGCATAAGCCATTGAAGGTTTTAAAATTTTTCACAGTAGAAAATTAATTTACGAAAATAAAATAAATATTAGTAACATATTTTATTGGGAAAATATTTTTAATGCTATTTTAAAGCGACTTAAAAAAACATGTATAAACACATGATATTTATCAATAATACCGCTATCAAACTTAAACTCATGAAAAAATTTCAAAGAAAACAAATTGATTGAAGAAGTTTAAATTCTTGAAAAAAGTGTATATATAACAAAGGCTATACCAAAATCATCCAATTCGTCCCAAAATTCAATCAAAAAATTAATCATGAAACCAATAATGCAGACATTCAGATAGAGTACTAATAAATTTATAAGTAACCTTATGTCCATTTTGAAGTTATTAAAGGAACTAAATTAGAAAAGACAAAAAATAAATATTATGTATTTGCAAAGTATTGTTAATAGAATTCTAATAAAGAACAAAAAAAAATTTTCTTAGGTTTGTTAGAGCACATTTAAACTCCCCTTATTAAAAAAAAATTATGCGCAAATATGAAAATATATCCAAATTTAAATATAGCAAGTCAGTAATGTAGATAATTTTTAACCGAATTTAAAAAATGTTGGTGAAATTTCAATGATATAAAAAGTTAAAATGACATACAACAAAAACCAATATGGCGGTCTCTAAGAAGACGGCGAACTTCAAATATTCAAAGTGACAGCCTGTCTTGTCGACATACAGTTTGTCAATTATAAAAATAAATTATTTAATTTTTGTCTACATCCGTAAAAACTAACTATAAAATAATATCTAATTTAACCTAAATAAAAACTATAAATACAAAATTATTTTAAATTTTAATTGCGACAAAAAAAATCCTACCTCCCGGTTGCTTACTTCAATCCCGAATGCATAAGCTATTCAAATGAAAGCCTCCACGTCAGTCTAAAATATTTCATTTCGTAATCGGTTCTTTTTTTTCAAAAGTAAACAATTCCATGAAAAAATGAAATAATCCTTTAAGCCCGTGGGAGAAGAAACATTCACATTTTTCCCTTTTTCCCTACAAATTCACCTTTTAGTTACTTGTTTGAAATTATAGTAAACTATTTTTTGTTATGCCGTTTCTACCTGAGATGAAATAAATTTATGATGCTTTAAAATTAGCGGAATAAAATTTTAAAAGCGTGATTATTAAAACTTTAATTTATTTAATTTCGCTATTAAGAAATTAAATGACAATTTGTTATTTTTATTATTTTTTTTATTTTTCTACTTTTACAAGAAAAGAATCTCTATGCAATATCTCTTGCAAATAGAAATGAACATGGAGATTCTGAGGTTAGAAATTAAAGAAATGAGGATATTTTTTTTGTTTAAATCCCTTTTGTTGTGGATATATATATTTTAAAAGCATAAACAGCTAGTTCTTAAGTAGCTGAATACGAAAATCATTAAAAGGAAAGATATAGATATTTGAATTGCAATATCTATATCTTTCATTATTCGGTTCCCCAAAGCAAGCTGAGGGGAAGAGCCAAAAAGAGAGGGAATTAAACCATTCCTATCTAGTAGTGTTTCCTGCACTGTAAAAAATTTCGGACTAAATTACGGTAAAAAGAACCGGTACTCAGGGTGCCGATACTTTTAACCGTAAAATCAATTTTTACCAGAATCTGCACAAAAAATATGACATACCGTAGTTTTTGCAGTAATAATTACCGTACAATCAATGAGCCACTCTAATTAAATAAATATCACTGTAAAAATTACGGTAAAATATTTTACAGTAAAATTTAATTTTATGGATGGTACACCCACAGTCTCGGTACTTTATACCGTAAATTGATCAGGAATTATTTACACTGTACATATTTTTCTGAGCTTGAATTGATTGAAAATAAAAGCAAATAGATTGAACTAATGGCTTAGAAGTTAGAAGGGTTTTCCTATGTACTGTGCACAATAGAGTACACCCTAAATAATTTTTGATCTATTCATCGGATTTTCACGTACTAAAATTCAATCTTTATAATTCGAAGGCTTACCCATAAATACATTAATTAATAAACGAAGACGCTTTTTTAAGTTATGATATCATCCATTAAAACATACTGTCACAGAAACTATAACTATTTTTTATGGTATGAATTCATGACTTTCAAAATATTAGGGTAGCCGCAATCTGGAAAATATGGACAAATTGCTTAGTCAGAATGTTTGAAAGTTTGGACCCCTACATTTTAATTTCTCTTTTTATAAATTTAACCATATAATTTAAACTATTAAAGCGAATAAAAAAATGCAATAAAAAATTATATATGATTATGAAACTTGCTTCTCTAATAATAACTACCAGGAAAAATATTTTTAATCATTTATTAATTTTTATTACTTATTTTAGAAACAAACTAAAACAAATCTGAATAATGAGGCGCAAAAATGCTTACTTTATTTTAATGTCCATTGTTTTAAATTACAAAAGGAAAAATAAAATTATGAAAATTTGACTTGCTTGAAATGACAAAATGCGAAAATAATTACATTGACATTAATCGGTTCAAATTTTTCTCTGCTCTCCTGCCTGTACCATGAGCACCTTGTTACTATATCGAGACATATATTGGCACCATATTACTATATCGAAACATATATTGGAACCACATTATCAAAATGGCAACTCCTTTCCCCCACCATGAGGGTAAAGAATCCAAAACCATTAAAAAATGTGTTTATTCAAAGAAAATTTATGATTTTCTAACGCAACATATCTTCTGCAACAATTACTTATCATATTTGAGTTTAACCCCTCAAGCATTTAAGATTGAGTTTGAGTACGTGAATACCCGATCATTAGATCAAGAGTTATCATACAGATTGTTTTATTTGAGCACCATATAATTCATAAAAAGTACACATTTTGATTTATGTAAGTGACGAACAAAATATACCAAGACCAATGCATATAAGAAATCGTTAATTTTATTTTTAAAATGATTTTTAGATAGTGAAGGAGATTAGACAGTTTTCTTTCGTAGAACTTCAAGCTAGCTCTTTCCTGCCTAATATTGCATGTAAGCGACTAAAATTTTATAGATTTTTCGTAAAATCTTTTTTTAATTTGTGGAGTAATTTTTTTAAATTAAAATGGCTACTCTTCTTTTCTGTAAACGAAGCTTTTCACTGACGTTTATGATCTAATTTGCCATGAAATAAGAAAAAAAAATCTAATAAATTGCCGCTCTTTTGAGCTTGATAGAAACATGTGTAAAATATGAGACTTTTATTTAGTTTTTAGTTCTGCTGATTAGAAATTTTCTTTTTATTTATTTTTTATTTATCAAAAGAATATGAAAAATTGAGAATGAGATTTATGAAAAAGATAGATATCGTATTTATAAAACGATAAGTAAAAAAATGCTTTTTTCAGAAATAATATAGGTGACTGAGGGTAATTGTAAGAAAAAAAAAATCATTTATTTATGAACGAAGTTAAATAACAAAACACTGAAATAAGAATCTTTTTCTTTAAAAAATTTTCTTACATTTGTTGAATTCAAACATTACAAAAAAGAAATATTTTCCATTTAAAAGAAATTGGTAAGAAAAAGGTAAATTGAGTAAAAAGATTAAGGAGATATAAAATATCTTAGTTGAAATTGAAATCATTTATTTCTTAGTTGAATTCATTTATTTATAAAAAAAATTGCATAGAAAAAAATTGAAGGATAAATATAAAAAGCAAAAAAGAATATATGTGTTTCTTTTATCTTAACCGAAAATAGGAAGGAAAAACTCCCCCCCCCCAAAAAAAAAATCAAGTTAGAAAAAATTAATATATATTTCCTATACACTTTACTTTTCTTGCCAATCGCTCATATGTAACTACAAATTGAAATTTTGCTTCTTTTAATAATGCCGTTTTGGTTTATCAATATTTGGTATTTCAACTCATTTAGAAAGATAATTCCATTAAATACACATTATCCTTTAATATTTTTAAGGTTGACGCACAAAACTAAATTCCAATTAAAGTCACTTTACATTGTATAAATTATGATAGTTAATATATATTATGATAGTTAATAAAAAACCAGCAAATTATAATAATATTAAGTACTACAAATTATATTTGAACTTATCGGAAAATAGGATAGCTTATAAAGTGAATTTCAAGTGTCAAAATGGCAGTGAATTTCAAATATCTCAAAATATGACTTATGTCCTTTACATTTAAAGTAGGGAAAGGTGGTATAATGCAGGGTAGCTAAGATTCGAAGGCCTACTGGTACTAAGCAGTTTGACCTACAAACTGTCTGATTTGACTGAATTTCTTGTTTAGTCTTATACAATATATCAATCTTAAAAAGTCATGGATTTACTACTTTTTTCTAGGAAATTGCAAACCACCTAGTTTTACCCCACTAGTTGGAGAACAACGGGTAAACATATAAACTCTATGAGAAATTTAGAAATAATAGAATTTTCAGAGAAAAAGCCGCAGACATTTCTATTTTATATGACAATTCACGAAAATTATGCATGTAATTTACTTGTGATGTAGTCAAGGAAGTACTCAAGAGGGAGAGTGGAAGGAGAGGGACAATTGTCCTTGAGCATAGGGCTGTTGAGGGCTCGACCAAAATTCTTTACAACCAATATATAGCTTATCAATGTTTTTACCAAAAGACAATATTAGATAATTTCATTATATCTATATAAAAACTATAATTTGTATAAAAGGATATCAA